GCTAGACTGGAGTCTGAAAGGGGATTTTTCTGAATTAAAACATGTAAATATTATTCAGGACTGTAACCACACAGGTGCCAATGAACCAGGAAATGTTATAGGAAAGAGGGAAACTGACCCTGGGGTCATCTGGCTGACCAGTAGAGGCCTTTTAAAGGGAAGATTCATGGATGTAAAGAAGGAGGGATGCTGGGATAGGGTGAGATGGAGGCAGGTGATGTGTTTTGGTGACCTCTGCAGGGAGCAGGTGACAGAAGGAGAAGGAGTTTGTGTGAATGTTGTGATGTGTGATCGTGTTGCTACCTGTACAGAGCTGCACATGGCGCATAACTGCTTTCTGTTCCTCACCAAAGAGTCTTTGCATCTAAACGTAACAACTAAAGCTTTCAGATGGTCCAAGAACAGCGCGTACTCCAGCGGTGGTACAGTTTGTGCGCTCGTGTGGACAGTAAACAGTCCTACATGATGATTTTCATGGTACTTTGTTAGTTTATGATGACTGCTTTGTTGGAGGACGTCTTGTAAAAAAGATGATCTAATGCAGAAAGTGGTGCTGAAGAGGGGACCTGCTGATGCTTGTTAGAGCCGGTTGTTGCTATAAAGCTCTCGTTTATTTCCTGACTGACAGTTTTATGTGTTGCAGAGATGAAAACATCATTTCTGCTGTAGTTGGCTCTCTGGGTTGTTCCGCTCAGTGGCGGAGCCGTTAGCGAAGGATGATTTTTAGCTGGAAATTTAATGAAAGTAATGAAAACTTGACAGAGCAGACTGTGTGTTGACTGAGAAACATTTCCACCACAACGCTAAATATTTCATCCTATTAACTCACGTAGCTGTGATGTAAAGTGGGGCTGATTGTGATGAACTGACAGGTAAACTGATGCCGACAGAGCTGCAGATTTCGTTCTCTCTCACTGTGATATTTACAGACAGACGCTGTTTCTAACACGCTGCACGGTACCTGCACCCAGCAACAGACAGGAGATGGAAATGTGACTACAGATGAACGTGCGATGTGTGGGCTGGATGTGTAAAAGCAGCTCTTAGCTAACACATTAATCACATCACAGTAATATAACAGAGTTTACATGCACAGTCTAACTGCACATTTAATCCCTGAGATATTTTAATATAAGAAAAAGATCAGATGCAACAGTTTCAGTGATACAGAAACGCTGATTTAATTTGAACTTTTTATAAATAATTGTTTGTGCAGAAAATCCTGTGATTCTAAGACTTTTTAATTAACAGAATATGTTTGTTGTTTTTTTTTTTACTATGACCATAGTGTGAAAATATACATTTCAATTCAATTCAATTCAATTCAATTTTATTTATATAGCGCCAAATCACAACAAAAGTC